GGCGGAGATGGCGGGCGAATGCTCAGACTCGACAGGCCGCACGAGCGGACGCTCCTCTTCAGTTTCTTTCGGCTTCTTGTCCCGAACGCTCCCAAAAGACGGCAGGGCGGGACGCGGGTGCATGACTTCGTCGACGTCCAGAGCTACCGAGTCCTTTTTCTTGTTGCGGCCCATGTTGCTGTACCATGGTCGTCGTGCTGTTTGAGGGCTCGGCACGACAGGTGAATCTGCATGTTGCTCCTGGGCAGACTCGCCAATCACCTGCGTGCTGTGCTCGTCAAAGCTGACGCGTACGCTCTTCTTCCGATTGGAAGGCAGATCGTCCTGGTGGCTTGCGTAGTGCTCCAGACCCAAATCCGAACCATCTTCTGACGGCGAGGCACCTCGCGATGGACTCGACGAGTTCTTCAGAGCCGACTTTCGGGGCGACACGGACCTCGCAGGAGGCTCGTGTTTGACTACAAGTTGGTCAGTTCGCAGCGCAAAGCGCGCATTCCGCACCGGGCTGTTTGAATGCTCGCGGAGGCTTCGCACGCTGCCGTGCTGTTTGGGCGGTGCTGACGACACGACGTTGTCGGCAAAACTATCAACGGCCGTGCTGCTGGTAGAGAAGGACGGGGGAGAGGAGTGGCGAGCCGTGTTTACGGGCACAGCCTCAGCGTCGGAGGGTTCTGATCCAGTGTGAGCGGTAGCGCCATCAACGAGATCCTCCTCCTCCTCCTCCTCCTCATCTTCTTCGGAAGACTCCTCGTCTTCAAGCTCGCCCCTGCCGCTGGGTGGCGCACTGTCCGTCTGCTGAGCCTGGACTGGAGCAGAGGTGCCGTTGCTGACGTGACCCGTGCGACCGGCTGTGGTCGGAGTCTGCGCGTGAGGAGGCTCCGGCGTTCGAGGGCCTGTCCCTGACGCCACGGCGGCCGCGACTGCGGCTGTCATGATCGGGGCCGGTTGCTCCGTCTGCGGGTGGCGTTGACGGGTCTTGGGTTCTGGACTCTCGGGCCGGACAAATCGTTGCGACTGAGGCTGGGTTCGGACGACGAGTTGGGGCTGGGCTTTGGTCTCAACTTCTGGTTGGATCTGTGCCTGTGTCTGTGGCTGTGAACGTGTCTGAACGTGCGATTCTTCACCTTCAACTGCAGTACCTCTGGCTCTCGCCACTGTTCCCTGCGCAAGATGAGACCCGCTCCTTCCCAGCGGCAACTGCTGCTGCTGCTGCTGCTGCAGCCTCTTTTTTCTCTTGACTGGCTTCTCGCTCGGCTCGATGTCGTACTCCCTTGCCAGCAAATCGGCCTTGGGCACCATCCGTCTCGAGTTGGGGTCGTAGACCAACGACTGGTCGGAGGCGACGGACGAGTGCGTCGAGGTGACGGACTGGGCTCGCTGGGGAGCAACATATCGCTGGCTGTGTGTCACTGAGGGCATTCTTTCGAAGATGGGCGAGGCGGGCGGTGAGCCGGCCTGCAAGGCTCTTGGACGAGAGAAATTGATAGAAGAAGTTGGGCTTACGGCTCCTGGTCGGGATTCAGAGGGCTGAGTTCGCGACAGCAACGCATCCGACTTTCTGACATTGACCGCTGCGCCCTCGGTGGCGGCGCCGAACCAAGACCCCGCTCCTCCTTGCTTTTTCTGGCTTGCGACTCGGAAGGGCTGAGTCTGTAAGCTGGTTGCTCTCTTGTGCGTGTTCCTACCGTTGTCGGATCGCATGTCTTCGGGGATGGCGGGCACGGGCGGCGGCGAGTCGTATGCGCCCGACGAGACGGGTCGATGTGGCGAGGGCGAGGGCGTGCGGAAGGTGCGTTCCGTCATGGAGCTTTGGCTGGCGGTTCTGTGAAGAGCTCGTCGCGCGTCGTGTTGGCTGTTCTGTGAGGAGACGGATGCGCTTCGGCGTTGGGTGCGCTTGGTCTGGACCTCGCCGACATTGATCGGCGTCGTCGGCCTTGATCGCAACGCGGCGGCGGCGGCGGCGGAGGAGAGGGAGGCATTGGAGTTCTGGCGCCCAAAGACGGCAGCGGCGGCGGTGGCCGCGTTTGGGTTTGCGGTGGCGGCAGTCAGAGGCTACAGGAGGTCGCAACGGTCAGACTTGGGGTGTTCTTTCTTTGTCTTCCTCTTGGTCTTCCTTTTGGATGGTGGCAGAAGTGTGAAGAGGTGCAGCAGAAGAAGACTCTCCAATTGGTAGCTTACCTGTGCTGGCTGCCGGTGCTTCTTCCTCATGCTGCCGAACATGATGGCGAGCTCGTCGATGCTTCACTTCCAGGAGGGTCGGATGGTGGGCGCAGTCTCCAGCTTTGACGTTGTTTACGAGGAACGTTAAATGGCAGCCTGCATTACTGCGGTGCTTGGTATGAACGTTGCGTGTGGTGCTCGGTTGGGGCGGCGGACACGGTCCAGACTGACGAGCCGGAAGCTGCGGCGGACGCGGTACCAAAGAATGACTGGAGAAGGGACGGGGGGGAGAGAGGGAAGGATGATGTTGATGCGGTCGATGAATGATGCGGAGTGTCGGATGATGGATGAGGACTCTCCCCGTTTCCAGGGTGGGAAAAAAAGAGCTGGGGGGTGGTGGTCTGCCTGATGCGATGCTTGGCCCTGGGGATTGGATGGTGGACTGGGGGGATGGGGGAACGCTGGTGGATTTTTACCATTCAGGGAAGGCAAGGCAAGCAAGGGCAGGCAATGGCAGGCAAGGGCAAGCAGGGGCAGGGGTGGTTGAGGAGGAGAGGAAGGAAGCAAGACCCGACGACTATTTGGCTGTGGTGAGCCGTGAGTGAGTGACCGGAGAGCAGCGAGCAGCGAGCAGCGGCAACGAGCAACCAGCAGCAGGCACAGAGAGGTGCAGAGTCGAGCTCCACTGATGACGACGGACGCGGTGGGAGGCTGCGCTAAGCGGCCTAAACAGGCAATTACCGGGGCTACTCAGAGACCAGGCAGACCAGGTAGCGCTGCTCCACCTTATTCAGCGCACGCGGTGGCTTTCCTCTGATGGCGGTTGCTGCTGTCGCTGCTGCTGTTGCTGTTGCTGTTGCCGCTGCTGCTGCTGCTAGCTGCTCGCTGCTAGCTGCTGGCCCAAATCGACAGCGCCGTCATGATGCGCTCCCGCGTCGATCACTCATGGGAAGCGCACCTTCTCTCCCCTGTCGCATGCATGGCGACTCGGCTCTTCTGGTTCCTCAAGCAGAGAGTGTCATGGCTCTCCTCTCCTGCATATCTCTGCGAAGGCAACATGGACACACAAACACCACGAGCAGGCCTACCGCCAGAAAGAACCCTTCTGCACCGAGTGTCGCACGCTCTGAACCCCTGCGACAGCTAGGTAGGTAGGTAGGTAGGTCGGTAGGTAGGTACCTAGATTCGTCAAGCACGCAGCCCCATTCTGCACAAGCTGCCGCTTTCAGACGACGACCAGCCGCCACACGACACGTTCACGTCTAGTCCTCGTCCAACTGATGGCGCCGCATCGGCGGATCCGATACATCCTGTGTACCCACAACGACCAAATGGTTGTCTCACAATACCAAGGCTCTCGTGCCTGGATCGACCACAACCCTCCCTCCTCTCCTCCGTTCCCTTGTCTTGACGTGGGGAGAGACCACATCGTGCTCAGGTGCCGGTGCTGCCCAGGCAACAGCTAAACACAGCACAAAGCGTCGACTTCAGTATTCGTCTGCTGGTGAGTATTTTTTTTTTCCCCAGCTGACGCCGGGCCCCCCAAGGCCTTGGCAGCTTGCTCCCTAGCCTGGGCCGTTCTGGGTAGATCCCAATCCCAATCCCAATCCCACTCCTCCCCCCCCCCCCCCCCGGGAGCGCGGCTCCTCACGAGCCAGGTTCGGCTGTGCTCGTTCTTCATGCTCAGCCTCAATCAACAAACAGCCTGCACCATCGGGGACCTGAGACAAGCTCGCCAGCTTCCTTGGCCAAGATTGACTCGGGCGTGGCTCGACCCGCTGCGTTCAGGAACGCGACTGTTCCGGCACGAACGCGGATCCTGTCGAGACCTCCTGGTGCATCGTGGTTGTGTCTGTTGTTCTCTATGTTTTTCACCCGCCCCCCGAAAAGCTGGTAGACACAGTCGAAAGTCGATGGGGTGGTGGGGCCGGCACGACGTCATACATGCAGCACAGGACCAGATAGATAGATGCCTCTGTGCTGCTGTTGCCCTGGCTGCTCCCAGTGCCCCCGGACGTGCACCCACGCTAGCTTTTCGTCCTACACACTTGCTTGTCTAGGCCTGAAGCAAGGGCAACGTGATACTGTCTAGAGTCGAGAGGAGACAACCTGCGCCGTTCGTCGCGCATGAGGCCTCTCGCGAATCGCAATACCTCTCGAGTTGCAGGGGCGGTCGACTGAGCTTAGCTGATCACAAATAGTCGCATGCCAGGTCACCGCGAAACATTGCGTCTTCGTCCACGCAGGGTTGTGTCATGCCCAATGGATGTGAAGTACTCAGTCTGACGTGACCAGTTTGAGGTGCTAACGCGAACATGCCTCAGACAAGATCGAGGGCTTCCTCAAGCCCGAAGTCCCTGTCCACCACCCATCCATCTTGGCCTTGTCGTTGGCATGGCGCAAGACCCTGACGACAACCTCCCACCGGTACTGGCGACTGTCTGCGTCAGGTCGTGCAACGCCTAGCAGGCTGCGGCCTAGCATCCATCGCCAGTACTCTTCTCTTGGCTCCCTCTCTGCCCCCTCCCCGCTCCAACCCGGACTCGACAGCCTTCAACACCGTGCGCGAAGCCTCGACGCGCTTCGCAACACGTCGCACAATGACGCCTCCTCTCGTGCAATCCTCCGTTGCCACCCAGGCCTCATCACCGGTTGAGACCATCGACTTCATACGTGCTTTGGGGCACATCTTGGGTCCCTTGTCAAATCCAAAACTCAAACAGAACGCTGTGCGCGCAGAAATGCCAAAATAAAACAAAAGTAGCCAAGTGGTCCAGATGCAGGCTTCCTGGGTATCACATTGGACGACACGCAGGAAGGGGTCTTTCTTTCCCTCCTCTCTAGGCGGGCACCCCTGCGTGCCCTGCGCCGGCCACGCAGGACGCACAGGGACATGCCAGGCGTTCGTCGTCGGGGTATTCGGGGTCTGGGTCGTCCGAGAGTGTCATGGGCGGGTCATCGTGAGTGAAGGAGCGGCCGTCGTAGTCGGATTCGCCATTATGGTACCCCTCTTCATCCTCGTCCGTGCTATTGGTCTGCGAGCGCGTTCCGTCCGTATGCCCTCCGTCAACTCTGTGAGGCTGCTGTTGCGGCTCCGGCTGAGACGAATCAGTGTTCTTAGCACCAGGCTTGCCACTGTTGGCCTTCTTGCCCTTGCGGCTCTTGGCCTTGGCCTTCTCGAGCAGCCGTTTTCTTTCTTGTTCCTGGCGGCGGGCTTTCTGGTCCTTCATCTCGTACTGTCGGATGAGGGCGTAGGGCGGTTCGCCAAAAATCTGCTCGTATTCGCAGAACTCGCATATCCACATGTCCTCGGGACGGGGCGGGTTGTGGTAGGCTTTCTCTCTGGCCTCACGGCGACGATGAGCAGCGGCCATCTTGAGGTCCCTCTCCGCGCGACGTCTAGATTTCTTCTTCTTGGCGGCAGCTGGTGCGCCCGCATTGCCTTGAGCAGGCGCGCCCTGCTGGTTGGCGCCAGCGTTTGCCGCGGCCGTTTGGGTTCCCATCGATGCGTGTTTGGTCCGGCTGGCCCCACCATAAGCTGGAAGGGACGAGTGGACCGCAGGGTCCATACCAGGCCACTGGGTACCAGGTACTTGAGAATCACAGGTGAATGTAAACTGGGCCGAGGCAGGTCGCGGCCTGGACGTGTTCGAGTGCTGAGAGAGCAAGCTTATGTTCTCTTGACCTGGTTCCGAGAAGACCTTGCCAGCGTTGGCGATGGCGTTGGAAATGATGCCAGTATTTTCGTCTGGAGGAGGACGATGGGTTAGCGAAGTTACTTCTTGCCTGCAGGTACACACAATGTGGTAGCTGGCAGTGTTAAGCTGGGAATTGTGGACGTGAGGAAAATAAGTGCGGTAGGAAGGTCGAGGCGGAAAGCGCTTCGGCGGGAGGAAGGTGCCTGATCGAGGGGCCGATAAGGCAACCCACAAGGTCAGGCAGGATGAGAAGCTCCGTCCAGGCGGTCAAGTCGGCGAGGGTAACGGGCACAGGCGAAATAAAAGCACAACACAACGTCGGGGTCAGGGGCCGGGTAAACTTACTGGAACTTGCGGCCCATTGAGGCTGCCGGATCTTGGGCCCTCGTCCCACCCAGCTGTTGGCTGCTTCAGAGACTGATAATGCTCGAAGCGGACTTCTGCCATTTCTTGAACGACCAAAACGCCCTCTTCCAGGACCAGATATCCCCTGGTTGTTCGCCACAAATCCTGAAGATCCATAATAGGACGGCGACACGGGGCCGGACTGATCATTGTCGGTCACGGGCGAACCAGCGGTAGCCGTGATTCCGAGGGCGGTAATGTCGGCAAGAGTATGCGTACCATTCAATGTGTTATCGCCAGCAGTGGGAATCTTGCGTTTCTTCTTGTTATTGGTGTTCTCGAACGAATCGTAACCGTCCACTGAAGAGGTCGTAGAGGGTGCCGGTTGGTGATTTGCGTGCTTCGACTGCCCAGATCTGTTCGACTGCGGGGTCGATCTACTCAAAATCTCGGGGTGTGATCGACGGACGACTTTGCTACTGGCGAACCGCTTTACCTCCTCCTCGTCACTCTCGCCTGCTTCGTGGTTTGCAATGGGTGCGCCCTCATATCCAGGATCCCGAATGACAGTGTAGTTTCTTCCCACACTAGACGACCTCTCGTCCCGCACAATGCCCGGCAAGAGAAACAAAGGACTCGAGTTTTGGCTCGCCGGAGGGTATTCGATCGTGTCTGCAACTTCGGGTGACAAACGCTCCCTGAGCCGTCGCTTGGGAAGAGGTCGCATGGGCCGCTGCTGGAAGAGAGAGGACAAGGCCTCGGGAGACATGCTTCTATCGTGTTCTGGACCTAAAGTGCCAGTGTCAGCAAGGAGTTCGGTGGGGACGCTCGAGGCTCATGCGGGCGACAGTCCATATAGAACCAGTAACCCCGCTCGCGATAGGCGGACGGTTCAAGCGAGCAGCGTTGCGACACCGTGGCCACCAGTTCGGCCCGTGGCCTACTCGAAGAGACTACTCGGAGAGACTGCTCGAAGAGAAGCAGCCGCCCCGAATGCGCTCTTGGTGCCCACCAGCCCCAGTACCCTCGCCAACTATTCTAACAGACATGCCAAGCGAGCTGCCAAGGTTGGGGGTAACGAGACACAGAGTGTTGAGCAAGGTATAGACGGCGTCGGCCGGGAAAGACGAGTCGTGGGTAGGAGGGGGAGCAGGGCAGAGGGAGTCATACCCATGGTGCCTCATCACGGGGTGAAGCAATCCGGAGTGGCACACGCCGGATTCCCTAGGACAAGGGGCGACGACAGGCTGAGGTGGGGGGGGGGAGGGTTTCAGGGGGTGACGTCAAAGTCGATGTCGATGATTTCTTGTCTCTCTACGTTTTGCTCACTGGCTGTCAGCATGTGGTGTCGACATGTTGAGGGTCCAACATCCAGCACCGTCAGGCTGGGTGTGGCCAGCCAGGCCAGGGCTGGGCCATCGCGGGACAGCTGGCCATGCGTTGTGCGTACCTTGATCAGCTGGGCAGCTATGTCCCTGTGGGAGCCAGCGGCGGCGGAGGACGAGAAGAAACAGGAGGCCAGGCACACAAGGAGTAGCTAGCAATAGCGATAGAAAACGTCTGCTATAAAGTTCGGGTAGGATGGCTGGCGGTACTGTTCTGGCGGCGAAGGGTCAGATAGGTCAAGGTATAGATGGCACTGGATGATTGCTAATGACGGCCAGGGCCCAGGGCAATTGATGAAGTCGCCTGGTGTGTGATTAGGGGACCGCATTATCTAAGCTCCCGTTGTTCCAGGGTTCCCAGCCAGGGTTGGGGTCGAGTGTGCCAGCTTTTGCCATGGCTGGAAAGGGGAAGGGCGGTCAAGCGACGGGAGTTCCTGAGCCTGGCGCGCCTGGCACACTGCTGCTGTTACTGACCTGCCAGGCCCCTGTTGGGCTTGCGAGCACAGCGCCAGAGAGGCGCGGGGTGCCGTGCTGCCACCGTGCGTCGAGTGTCAACCCGAAGCTGTTGAGCATGCGCCAGGTGGTGTTGTTGGGGCTCTCGCACGGTGTCTGTTGTGCATCGGAGGGCGCGCCCGAACCAAGTACTGGATACCCGCAGCACCGCGATAGTGGTCGCAGGGACCAAAGTGCCTCTACCTGGCTTTCACCAATAATTTATCCGCCGACTGTACTTCCCCCTCTACGGTCCACAGTGCTCCAGTGGAGCAGGGGGCACTTCCGCTCGCGCTGCGCTGCGCTGCGCCTGGCGCCGCCGCACCAAGCAAACCAGCAGAGAGCGAGCGACACCAGCACCTCTCGGCCTCGACTTTCTCTGCCACGAACCGAACCCATCCTGGCCCGAACCAGTCCCTCCTCTGCTCCTCTCCTCCTGCTCCTCCTGCTCCTCCTCCTCCTCCGCCTCTCTCGTCCTCTACGGCATGAATTCTTCCCTCGACCACCCAGTATCGGACATGCGAACGCCTCAATCCCCTCTTACACCTTGTTGGAGCACCCACCTCGTCTCTGTCTCATAGCTTGATCCCACAGCATTTCTTCCTGCTCCTCCTCTGCTCCTCTTGCGACCACCACCCCACGAACCTCGACCGACCCTACCCATCTCTGCGTCCCGCACCTCAACAGCCATTGCGTCGCCCCGAGATTCCACAATCTCATTTGCCCGAAATCCAAGGGCGGAACTGCCTCGAAGAAGTCTCGCCTTCTCTGCCCGCCCTTCCCCACTACCAACCTACCTACCATTACGTCCCTGTTCGCCCTGCGTCCTACTACTTGTTCCTGATTTTCCCTCCCCTCGAACCCTCGCCTGTTGTGTTTTCCTGCAATTTGCCTCAATGGCACCTCCCTCCCCCCGAAGATCTTCACGAGCCCGGGGCAACACCCTCACACAATCGACTCAGTCCTCCTCTGCCTCGAGCCTCTCGAGCCGAGCGGAGAGGAATACGAGATCGCTCATCAAGACGTCCTCCAACAAGTCCACTCCGACGAGCGCCTCGCTTTCTTCCGAACCCCTCGATGAACCAGAAGATTCTATCCTCCCCCGCCGACGAACACGAGCACAAGAAGAGATCCGCGACAAAATTCAAGTAGACCCGTACGAAATGGCCAACGACGGCGACGATATCCAAGAGGATGACGAGTCAGTCCGCTGCATCTGCGGCTTTGACGAATACCCAGGCCCTCCGCCCTTTGACGACGATGTCAAGACCGGGAAAGAAAACCCAGAGGCCGATTTCTTCGCCAGCATTGAGTTGTCTGACGAGGTCTCCGGCCTCTTCGTTCAGTGCGACATTTGCAAGGTGTGGCAGCACGGCGCTTGTGTCGGCATCTTCACCGAGGAGAGCTCTCCCGACGAATACTTTTGCGAGAAGTGCAGGAAAGATCTGCACAAGATTCATATTGCATCCAACAGGTACGTTGCCGGGAGCGCTTCGCTACCGCCCAAGAAGTTTTGTTCCTCTTACCCGGTCGCAAGAACTGCTGCCATCCTCCACCTCGGCTAGGCCAGACACTGACAGCGAGCCTGCCAGCCAACGATATTCAAACTACCTTCCCCTCGGTCGACAGTCCCGGTCCTCGTCGCGCGCAACTTCTGTCGCCAAGGATGGCACCCGTTCTCCCAAAGACTCGTCGGCGAGAAGCGCTCGGGCGTCATCGGCAGCACAAGCAGCCAAGCGGCGGTCGACCATGAACAGCCGCGATGCCGGCTACGACGAAGATGAGCAATTGCGACGTGCGATCGAAGCAAGCAGAGAAGAAGCACCTGATGGGCAACCTTCTGATCTTGTGCCCCGAAGACTCAAGCGCGGGCGCAGCAACAGCCAGGAGTATGTCCGATCTCTGCCTGACAGCGTCCCCAGTTGCTAACAGGAAAAGCAGCAACCAATTGAGCCTCAAGCGACAGCGTACCAGCTCTCCGTCAATGTCTCCGCCACCAGAGAGCAACTTTGCGATCGAAGATAACTCGGAAGATGACAGCACAGGCCGAAACGGGACAGCAAAGAAACTGCGTGTCCTCGGGAATCCGAAAGAAAGAACAGAACGCGAGGAACGAGATCGGCAGCGTCTTGAAAGCGCGAATAAGAGGAAAGGCCGGGCCGACCGCCGACGTGCTGATGGGATCGGGGCACCCACACTCCCAACCGAACGTGAGGGGCACTCAACGGCCGAGTCGGAGCCTGCCGACGATACGGCGGCGGTGCCAGCTCCGGCACGACCTGTCGTCAAGCCAAATGTCGAGCCACCTCCGCCGCCGCCCGTCGAGCCAACACCGTCGGCAGCCCCGACCCCAGACCCGACACCTGCGCCTCCAGCACCCACCGGCAGCACGCACAAGAAATCGAGTCGGAGCCATCAGAAGCGGGCCAAAGGCAGAAACCAGTATACGAAAGAGCGCGACGATCCCGAGGCGTCGCCTGTCCGATCCATGTCGAGGGACACGGTCCGTCCAGAAGAACCTGCGGTCGGCGGCGGAACAACCAAGGCCTCGGGAGTCGACAGTGCCAGACATACCGCCCGGAGCAAGGCCCATCTCCACAGCAAAGCCTCGCTCCCTGATATGAAGCGGCGCGTGGCAGCCTTTCTCGACTTTATCTCCAAGACGCAGATCGAAATGGCAGGCGAGTCGTCATCCGGTTCTGGGAGCAGTCAGAACAACTCGGAGCAGCATAGTCCCCGCGATGCCGTCACCAGCGCCACCGAGACGCACGCGAACGGGGTCTCTGCGACCGAGTCCAAGGTGGCTCATCATGCGAATGGAGATTCGGCAGCGCCTGCTGAAGGACAGGACTTTAAGGAACTCAGCTGCGTGGAGATGATGGATGTTTTGACGCGCGATCTCGTCAAATGGCAAAACCAGTATGCGAACTAGATGCAGTCGCATCTTTTTTTACTCCTGTGGTAGGTGTCAAATTGGACACAGGGGCGCAAACGGCGCATGTATGATATGACGATCAGGCTTGGCGGAGAACCCGTCCATGTGTATGGCACTGGCGCAACAGGCACGGCATTTACGGCGTTTACGATGCGGTTTTTCTTCTTCTTGTTGTTCTTCCTTCTTTTTCTTCCTTCGGTTCCCGTGTTATCACATCTTTGCGCTCCAGGAACAAACAGGCTTTGGCGTTTACTGTACGGCCTACGAAGACTGGGTTAGTCGGGGCTTGGTACCGTATTTCGTATATACCCCCAATGTACGGGCTGGAGTGTGGAACAGCCGCACGTGAGAAGGACGCGGATCTTAGTCACAGTGACTTGTTTTAATTTCCAAGAAGCAGTTGGTCTATTTTGTGGCATTATGGTCTCGTGATGTGCTGTGCAGTTGGCTTGCTACACCGTAAAGGGGGGGGGGGGGAGGCCTCCTGGGTTGAGGAACATGCGGCACGATCTGGTACAGAGCAAAGAGGAGGGGGTATCATCGGGTCCGAGCATCTTTTGATGAGGCGGAAGAGGGGAGAGAAGAAAAAGAGAGAAGGCAAGACAAAAAGAGAGAAAGAGAGGTCAAAGGGCTTTTTGCTTGTTCATGGCCCTCTCCCTCCTCATCTCCTTCTCCCTCTTGCGGGCCTGGCTCAGACTCGTGGGCCCGCCGCCCTCGCGCGCAATCTCCTTGAGGCGGATGGCGTCGTCGTTGACGTCGTCGAGGATGAAGCGGCCGAGCTGGCCGGTGCGCCACTGCTTGACGGCAAAGTCGGCGGCGGCCTCGACGTTGGGCACGCCGCCGGCCTTGAGCTTGCCTGTGCGGCGGGCGACGCCGGCGAGAAAGTCGTTGACCTCGTTGGTCGGCGGGCTGTAGCGGGCGTAGAGGGCCGGGTCGAGGCGGTTCATGCGGTAGAGGAGGTAGTCGGCGAGGATCTCCATCTGGATGCGGTCGTCCTTGACCGAGCCGGCGAGCGCCAGCTTGACCATGTCCTCGGCGTCGTCGACGTAGGGCATGAAGACGCCCGGCGTGTCGAGGACGAAGACGCCCTCGCCGAGGCTGCCGCCGCCGCCGCCGTCGGCGCTGCTGGCGGCGTCGCGGGCGAAGCTGCTGCTGCTGCTGCCGCTGCCGCCCTCGAGGATGCGCACGGGACTCGACAGCTTGCGGGTGACGCCCGGCTGGGCGCCGGTGCGGGCGACCGAGGCCTTCTTGGCCATGCCGTGCGTGCGCAGGCGGTTGAGGAGGGTGCTCTTGCCGACGTTGGGCATGCCGACGACGAGGGCGCGCACACCGGTCAGCGAGTCGACGGCGCGCGCGGCGTCGGCAATGTGGCGCAGGAGGGACTTTGTGCTGCTCGGGTCGTCCTTGCGCCAGAAGACGACGCGGTGGCCGGCCACGGCGCTGTTGGCGGCGTTGTGGCCGGCGTGGTAGCGGCGGAGGTCGCGCTCGACCGAGTGGGGGCTGTCGGTGCCCAGATCCCGGTGGGTGTAGACGATGATGCGGTTGCGGCCGGCGATGGCGCGGTCGAGGTGGGGGTTCCAGGACGTCAGGGGCACGCGGTAGTCTCGACACTCAAGGACAAGACCGATGCTCGAGAGACGGTTTGTGATCTCACGAAGACCGGCATGGTGGTGGCCCAGGTAGTAGGAGCGCGGAATAGACTCGGACAGGGGGAAGCGCAGGCGCGGGACGAAGGCGGCGGCGGCGGCGGCCGAGGCTGAGGCTGAAGCTGAAGCTGTGGTAGTAGCCATGGTCGGAGGTGGGCGGATGGAGAGAAGATGTAGTGGTAGTGGTGCGACCTCGAGCGGCGCGTGGGGGTTTTCGAGGTTACCTGGGGCAGGCTCGCATCGTATCAGCTCGCATTGGCCGGTACTGATGGCCGATGATGTAGAGGGCGAGAATTTCGATGGACTGGGTGGCAGTTGGGAGCTCAGCTCAGTACAGCGAGTAAAACTGAAGTGTCCGAAACGAGCTTTGGCGTTCTTCGATAAGTCACGCGATACGCTCGCCTCGCGATATCACGTGATTATCCCTGTCCGAGGAATGTCTACGTGAGAAGCACCACCAGTATTGCACAGACGACAGGCACTTTTCAACGAGATGTATTTGCAGATTCAGTTGGAGGCATGCCCGCACACTTGAGCAGCTGATCGAGGTGCTCTGCTGACTGGTCTGACTAGTTTCAGTGCCAGCAAGACCTTGGACGACGGCGTGCTTCGGTGCTCGAACATCGATGACGTACGAATGCCATGTTCCGTAGACGAGATACAAGGTGGTGAGCACGGTAGGAGTTGTTTCCCTGGCTCGCGTGGCTGTAGATGAACTGTAGAAAATGAGCCGTACGTGGATATCTTCGCCATATGTTCGAGAAGTCAGAGCAGGTGCACCGTCGATTATTGCTCAGTGAGAAATCAGTGTTTCTAGTATAATGCTTCCTGCAATCACAGGGCCGACTGTCTGTTCATATCACAGAGCACTTGGTCTCATCGGAAATGTTCTCTAGTAGCCGCTTACTGCTGTGAGAACTTCAGCACTGCTTTATATTGCTTTCTTCCAGTCTCTTGGTTTTTGTAGGCTACTTTGCTGCTATCTTGTAGCTTGACTGGTATGATATGTGATCAGAATAGACGAGATGAAATATACTTGATGTGGGCTAGCGGTTGTTACGATATAATTTTGAGTGACAGCTCGTGGTTTTCAAAATTTTGCTTAGGATGACATGAATCCATCGCAAGAAACAAACTAGGGTTCGGCATCTTCACATAGACGGCCTATCTTTCCTGGGCAGACGGCGGGTTTCCTCTCAGATCTATTCAAACTTCCAATCTGGTTGTCGAGTTCTACTGATCGCATTTGTCATTACGGTCTTCCATGCCATACGATACCTCCCGCCATGATACATCATCAGAAGGTCCGTCTTTAAATCTCAATACTAGTCAACTCACCAAGGTTTCCTATCGCTCGCAAGAAGATAGAACCACACTTTCGGGTGCATCTTTACCTAGTTGACTGAACTTTCTCCCTACGCCATAAGGTTCAGTCTGGGAGGGACATCCTGGATCTTCACCAGGCCAACATCGTTTCGAACCCCCTCTGCCCAACCCATGTGTTTGTCAATAGAGTATCTGTCTGTCTGGCTATTGTCAAAGTAGAGCGCTCTTCACTCAGGCGGCAACCTTGGCGCCATAGCCTCCGCCGCCGGGCGTCTCAATGATGATACGATCTCCCCTCCCGAAGCTCGCCGTCGCCTTGCCCCCGAGACTGATGGTCATGCCGTCGCTTTTCCTGACCCAAGTATTCCTACCCATGCCACCATCGCCTCCTCCATTCCTGCCCCTCGGCGCCCGCGAGCGCCGCTCGGACAGAATGGACACCTGCACCCCGGGCACGAGGAACTCAATGTCCCTGACGATGCCATCCCCTCCGCGATGCGCTCCCTCGCCTCCCGACCCAGCCCTGACGGCAAACGCGCGCAGCAGGACGGGGTACCGCTTCTCCAGCACCTCGGGATCCGTGATGCGCGTGTTCGTCATGTGCGTGTGCACGCCGCTCGTCCCCTCCCACGTCGGGCCTGCGCCGGCGCCGCCGCCGATGGTCTCGTAGTACCCGAACCCCTTGTCGACGACCTCGCGGCCGGTCTCGTCGAGGCGCTTGCCGCCCATGCCGAACGTCAGGTTGTTCATGCAGCCCGAGCTGTCGGCGCAGGCGCCAAAGGCCGCGAGCACCACGTCCGTCACGCGCTGCGACGTCAGCACGTTGCCGCCGACGACGGACGCCCCCTCGCCCGGCGACAGGATCGTGTGGGGCGGGATGCGCACGTCGATGGGCGCGAGGCAGCCCTGGTTCAGCGGAATGTCCGACGCGACGAGGGCGCGCAGGCAGTAGATGATGGCCGAGTGGGTGATGGCGCGCGGCGCGTTCGTGTTGCCGTAGACCTGCGGCCCCGTGCCGGTAAAGTCGAACACGGCGTCGCCCGTGGCCGGGTCAATGGTGATGGCGAGGGCGATGGGCGTGCCGTCGTCCATGTAGTCGGTGGCGCGCAGGCCGCCGGGCGGCATGGCGGCGTGCATCGTCTTGAGCAGCGCCCGCACCGCCTGCTCGGCGTTGGCCTGGATGGCGAACATGTACTTGTGCACCTCGGGCAGCGTGTACTCGCCGATGAGCGCCTGGATGAGGTGGATGCCCTGCTTGTTGGCCGCCACCTGCGCCTTGAGGTCGGACAGGTTGTCGCTCAGCGTGCGCGTGCCCGAGATGCCCGGCCGCCGCGCCGGCTCGTGCAGGAGCATTTCGATGACGCGCGCCTCGTTGAACCGACCGTTGCTGACGAGCTTCTCGCCGAGGATGGCGGCGCCCTCCTCGTAGAGGAAGTGCGAGTCGGGCGGCATCGAGCCCGGCCGCGTGCCGCCAATATCGGCGTGGTGGCCGCGCGAAGCCACGAAGAAGACGATCGCGCCATTGTCGAAGACTGGCGTCACCACGGTGATGTCCGGCAGGTGGGTGCCTCCGCTGGACGGATGGTTCGAGATGAGCACGTCGCCCTCTTCGAGGCGGCCCTTCCACTGGTGATGCAGGTGGCGAACACAGAACTGCATCGAGCCGAGGTGGACGGGGACATGCGGCGCATTGGCCACGAGACCGCCGTCGGGCGAGAAGATGGCACACGAGAAGTCAAGTCTCTCCTTGATGTTGGTTGACACGGCTGTCTTCTGAAGCGTGCGGCCCATCTGCTCGGCAATGGACATGAACCGGTGGCCAAAGATGGACAGCTGAATGGGGTTGACCGTCCTTTCGACCTGCTGCGTCTGCTGCGGCGCATCAGACGAAGGAGGGCCAGTGTTGGACACTGACGAGGTCTCGAGTTCGATGACAACGATGCTGTCGAGGATGACGGCCGTCGTCTTGGGCCTGACGAGGATCGTCTGCGTCTGGTCTAGGATGAGAGCCGGCCCGGGAATCCGAACACCGGCCTCGAGCGTACCCAAGAGGTAGAGATTCGTATCGACGCCGCCGGCGGCAGCCTCGAAGCAGACCTTTTTCGTGCCTGCGGCGGCCGGCGCCTCGACCTTGGTTTTCCCGGCAACATCGAGCAGCTGGCGGTAGGGGCTCTTCTCCTTGTGCTCCGAGGTCGAGCCCACGGCTCGCACGCGGTAGTCGTCAATCAGGATCCTCTTCTCGGGGAACACAAAGCCAAACTCGCGCGAGTGCTTCTCCTCGAAGGACTTGCCAAAGTTGGCCGTCGCCTCGCCGGCGTGTTGCATGATCATGAAGGCCGAGTTGGATCCCTCGTAGCGCATGTTGAGGTACACTTCCAACCTGATCCGGCCGGCATCGATGTCCTGGCCCGCCAGATGCGCCGTTGCTTCAGACGACATGTCGGCCAGCGTCTGCTCGATAACGGGGAAGCTGGCAGCACCAAAGTCTACGGCGGCCGGCCTCTGCACCTCGTGCACCAGGTCGGCCAGCGACAGGCCGTAGGCCGACAGGATAGACGAGTACTTGTGAATGACGACCTGCTCGATGGACAGCGCCGCTGCGACGTCGCACGCGTGCTGGCCACCAGCGCCGCCAAAGCATGAAAGAATGTGGTCCGAGGTGTCGTATCCCCTCGCCTCCGTCAGTGCCCGGATCGGCCTCGCCATGACCTCGGATGCCACCTGCAAGAAGCCCAGGGCCACCTGCTCGGCGGAGAACGCGGCTCGTCCCATGGCGCGGTTGTCATCGTTGATCTCTGCCGTCAGTTCGGCAAACTTGTCGGCCACAACCTCGGTGCCAAGCGGCTCGTCCTCGTTGGGACCAAAGATTTGGGGGAAGTAGTCGGGCGCGATGCGGCCGAGGAAGAGATTGGCGTCCGTCACGGTCAGGGGCCCTCCCTTGCGGTAGCAGGCTGGGCCGGGATGGGCACCGGCGGACTCGGGTCCTACAGCGAAGAGACCGTTGCGCCAGAAGAGCATGGAGCCGCCGCCTGCCGCGACGCTGCGGGTGTCAGTTCGTGAGGCGGCCTTGGCGGACAGGATAGAGAGGAGGAAACATACGTGATGATGTCAAGCTGGGGCGATTGGATGAGAACGCCCGCCGTCGTCGTCTCAAACACATGCTCATACGTACCGGCGAACCTCGAGCAGTCTGTCGATGTACCGCCCATGTCGAAGCCAATGACGGGTTTCCTCTGCTCCTCATCCCACGACGTCTGCGCATACCCGACGACGCCGCCCGCCGGACCCGAAAGAATGCTCTTCAGGCCGCTGAAGGCCCGGAAGTCGACGAGCCCTCCGTCTGACTGCATAAAGTCGCAGCGCAGGTTCGCCGCTTCGAGCCCGCCCTGAAAGTTGGCCGATATCGAGTCGATGTACGCCCGGATAATCGGCGTCAGGTATGCGTCTGCCGTCGCCGACGTGCCCCGCGGCACGGCTTTGATCATGGGCTGCAGGGCCGCCGATTCGACGGCCGCGAAGCCCATCTCGCGCGCCAGGCTGCCGACGAGCCGCTCGTGCGCAGGGTAGACGTACGAGTGCAGGAAGACGACCGACAGCGAGCGGTAGCCGTCGTCCCACAGCTTCTGCAGCGACACGCGCACGGCGTCCAGGTCTGGCGTCTGGAGGACGCGCACAATCTCGCCCGTCAGACCGACGTGCAGCGACGGGTCGCTCGCCGGGTCGATGGTCTGCGGTTCCGGGTCTTCCGAGTAGCCCTCCAGTGTGACGCGCTCGTCGACCTCGACGACGTCTTGGTACAGCAGCTCTGGCGTGGCGACGCTGAGGTCGAAAATGTTGGGGCGCGACTGGGTACTGATGCGCAGCAGGTCGCGGAACCCCTTTGTGACGAGCAGCGCGGAGAGGGCGCCCTTGCGCTCGAGCAGGGCGTTTGTGCCGACGGTTGTGCCCATGCGAATGCGGTCTATGGGCGCCGTGTCGAGGGGCGTGCCGCGGGGGTGAGGCTTGCCGGTGACGAGCTCGAGCACGCGGCGGACGCCTTCTGTGGGCGCATCGGGATAGTTGGCTGGGTCGACGGAGAGAACCTTGAGGATGATGTCTTCACGGCCGGGCACGGATGCATGCACGTCCGTGAAGGTGCCGCCGCGGTCGATGGAAATCTGGACGCCGGGCATGGTCGTGGTCGTGGTCGTGGTCTGGGTGGTCAGGGTGAGGTGAGGTGTGTTGAGATGAGAGGCTCATATGCCCGGTTGGTAGACCGAATGAAAAGGAGATCAGAGTGGAGGGCACAACAAGGTTGAATGGGGTATCATTCGTGAAAAGTATGATGATCTTGTTCGACTCATTGGCACTTCACTTCTGAGAGTGGGAGCGATGGTCCCTATTATCTACAAAACAGCATCTTGGTCCCTCAAGTCTCTCATTGCGAGTGATGCTCCGAGTTTAGGAGGCTCAAAGCCGACTACCCCGCGACCCGCGGCAGCTATGTGTTGGTAGCTAGAAGCTAGGCCTGATGCTCTCTGGTCTTGGCATGCTAAGACCATCTTTGCTGCTCTCTTGCTTGCCTGGAAACCACACAGCCGTTTGGAAGACTATAGGGCGCCCAGCCTCAATCATCTTGTCACGGAGACGGAACCCCGCACACTCTACTGCGCATAGCTGTCTCTCTGTTTATTGACGCCGAGGTTGGGTAGTTCAGCGGTTGGTGTTGGCAAAGGTCATGGGGTTCGGGCCCGTGAAAACGGAGGCGGACATCCGTCCCCGCTGCCCTTAACCACGCAATGTGCCTTAAACGATTCGTTCTCTTCGGACAATCCAGGCCGACTCTAAGCGCTGGGTCGATGTCCGTTCATCGGACTCGGCAGCCCGTCCGAGTCGAACGTCAAGATGCATAGCCAACAAGAACCCCAGTTCACTGGGGGAACACTGTTCTGTCCATACTCTACATATCGCCCTTGTCTTTCCCTGTTATTGTCATTCTGTCTTAATTGCTTGGATTGTTGATTCATTGCTTCACACAATGCCAAGCGGTCCCAAAGTGTCACTTTGCTGGATCTTGTATTTCTTCACCTCTACCTCTTGAGACAACCCAGAATAGACAACATAGGATCATTGCCGTACTCTTCCGCCTCAAACACACATATAGACCTACTCCTACCATGGCTACCATCACCGAGACATCAATCTCCGAGACCGCCTCTCGGGGGACGACCATCGCCAACCCTAGCACCTACCTCGAAACAGGCATCGAGGCCCGCCTCGCCGCCCGCAACAACCAATACACGAAATCGACCTCAGGCCTGGCCCCCAGGCACCTCCAAGCAAACCTCATCATCCTGCCTTCCCGCTACGCCGACGACTTTCGCGATCTCTGCGCGCGCAACCCCGTCCCTTGCCCCCTGATTGCGGAATCGCGGGCCCCCGGGGACTTCACAAATCTCAAGTCACACGTCCCCGGCCTCGATGGCCACCGCATCGCCCAAGGGCTCGACATGCGCACAGACTGCCCTCGCTTCAACGTCTACCAGAACGCAAGGCTCGCACAGAGCGGCGTCCCTGACATTCTGCGCCACTGGACCGACGACCACGTCGCCTTTGTCATCGGATGCAGCTACAGCTTTGAGTCGGCCCTCGCAGCCCAGGGCCTACCTCCGCGACACGCCCTCCTGGACCGCAACGTGCCCATGTACCGGTCCAGCATCCCCCTCAACCCCTCGGGCGTCTTCACGGGCGCAACGTACGTCGTGTCCATGAGGCCGTACCGCAGGGCCGATATCGAGAGGATTCGGACCATCACGAAGCGGTACCTGCCTACGCACGGCGAGTGCGTGGCCTGGGGGTGGGACGCGCTCGAGAGGCTCGGCATCAAGGACGTCAACGTGCCACAGTGGGGAGACGCGCCGCTGACCATGGACGGGCGGATGTTGGGGGATGTTGCGGGAGATGAGGAGAACGTGCCTGTGTTCTGGGGCTGCGGCGTCACGCCGCAGGAGGCTGTCATGAGGGCCGATCTCGAGGGGACAGTCATGGCGCATGCGCCGGGGCATATGCTTGTGCTGGATTGTATGGAGGATGAGGTGCTCAAATAGACGTGTCTGGCATACCTAATTTAGCTGCATCGGCCCATTGCTGTGCAGTTGACGGACTGCTGTCACAGAATTACGGACATTTTGGTGAATGCGAGGATACTGAGATACCGTGTCGCACAATCAACTTTTGAGGACTGGTTAGCCATTTCCATCACTTGCTACCTTCAACGCAAAGACACGAAAGTCAGTAGATGAGTCCCGAGCCACTTCATTCATGTTGAACATCCTACAATAGGTGCATACACTACGTTCTCGTGCATTTGTAAATGGCTTATACTTCTTTTCATGAACGGATGCTCAAACTCTATAGACCAACTGTCCAAAGCACCAATTCGAAGAAATACAGCGCCGGCTACGACAGTCATGTCAAAAGCTGTGACGTCTAGCCCAACGGACCAGCCTGAAGAGCGGCAGTTCCAAACCTTACATCGGACATTCATTGTAGCATGCGGGTAGGACGCCGATGAAAGGTATGACATGCCAACGGATACACAAAAAGCCTCTCCTGACACGATCGTGAAGACACTCGCTCTGAAACTGGACTCCCCGAAATCCCATTGAAACTATTGTAGTCAGAGACTGAAGGAAGAAATCAAGCGAGCAAAACTGAAAATTGTTCTTTTTTCCAAGCGTCGCAATTTGCTGCGTCCTCGCACACTTCTTCAGGGGTGTCATGTGCATATTACCAGAACCTCCGACATGACGGGTACAGAATTGCCCATGTCTGCTCAGTAGACATAGCGGAAATTGAGGTTGTACTCGCCAGTCACAGCGGGTCGATCATCTGCACGCTCCCCCCTGGAGATCTGGTCTTTCTTGTTGTTTTCCATCTTGAAGTGTACAATCTGCACCGAGATGAGGACCATGCAGATCACTGCAGACGCCAGACTCGACCAGTGGCCCAGCATGTACGGCGCCTTGCGGTAGACCTGCCCGGCCACAACGCCGGCAACGTTGCCCACGGCCTGGGAAATGCCCAGCGCAGTGGCACGGCGGTAGTGAGGCGTCGTGTTGTTGACGATCCACATCTCGTTGAGACCCGGACCGCAGTAGAGGGGCAAGGCGATGAGAAAGCAGGCAAAGTAGCGGACGCTAGAGTTCGACACGGACAAAAGGATGGCGTAGCCAGCAACAGCAAAGGTGTCGAGGAACAGCAGGATGCTGCCGCGAAGTCCGTATCTGTCGCCGAGCATGGCTGCCACGAAGAAGGAGATGCCGCCGAGGAGGTACACTGGGACACTGAGATATTGAGCCTCGAGCCTCGAGAAGCCAAGTCCATCGCGGAGGATAGAAGGGAGGAAGCTGCTAAAGCCATATAGAATGACGTCCTGGAAGAACTGGATGAGAGCCCTGGTGAGCATTAGCAGGTGCCCACGTCAAACCGATTCAGCGTCAAGTGAGAAGAACGCACCCTGTGTAGAGTCTCCAGTCCTGGAGAGCGGAGAAGACCTGCGACCATTCAAACGTCTCGGTACCCATGTACTCCTGACGCTTCAGCTCGCGTCTTTCCATGGTATCACGCTGCTCCGGTGTCCACCACTTGGCCTTGGCTGGGTACTCGGGAAGTCCGAACCACGCCCATGGAACAACAGTGAGGGAGATGAGGCCCTCAATGATGTACAGCCAGCTCCACGACTGAAGGCCCCCGGCATTCCCGATCTTGGTAATTCCCGTGGCTACAAGCCCGCCAAACATGCCTGAGAAGGCCGTTGCAGCGAACAAATACGAGAATCGCAAACCTTGCTCATGACGATTATACACCATGGTGATGTACAAACTGATGCAAGGGAAGAAACCCGACTCGCAGACGCCCAGCAGGATGCGGCACGCCAGGAGCCCGCTGTAGCTCTTGATGAAGGCCGTGCCGATGGTGACGATGGACCAGGCGAAAGCCATGACAGCAATGGCGCGGTGTGTCTTCAACTTCTTCAGAGCCAGAACAAAAGGGACCATAAACGCAACATAGGTAGCGAAGAAGACGCTGACGGCAGTGCTGAACTGGGCGCCAGAGAGACCGAGCTCGTCGCGCATGCCAGCGATGTACGCGTTCCCGATATTGCTTCGGTCGAGGTAGGCCATGAAGTAGAGTGCGCAGAATAAAGGGGCAAACCGATAATCAAGACGCTGAAGGACACGCTTTTCGAGGAGAGGATCAACATAGATTTCGTTGGAAGGCTCTTCGCAAATTGAGCCTCCCTTTTCATGATCGTCGTTGGTCATGAGAGCGGACTTGGTCACCTCCAAGTTTGTGTTCTCGCTTGGTGGAACCGGCATAGTCTCAGAGACCTTTTCTGACGCCATCATCGGGCTGACAGTTGCGCTGTGACTGAAGTAGAGGTAGAGAATAGTGTCAGGAATAGGGTTCTGTTGAGCAGTGTGGTCAAATGGGAGTTTGGTGATGGTAGAGTGAGATCGAACGAGACATCGAGTCAGAACCCAGCGGGCGAGACGTGTTGTATTTATGTGAATCACTCTTCACCGGCATCCAAGATGTTTTTCAGAAGGAACTACGGCAACTATTTCAATTCATACAACCTAAGCACGGTTTGTCCCGGAGCTCTTGTCGTGTCACCCTGGCTTATCTGGGGGTGAACCCCGGACTCGAGGTAATGCGGGGCAGGCTCGGCGGCTATCATGATTGATACACTATCAGGTGAAGCTAGGAGCTGTTACCGGCAACTTGGGACTGGACCATCGCTGCGCAGAAGTAAAGACTATCCGTTACAGTGCCGATGGCCCTAACTTGGGTGGCTGCGCTTTCCGGGGGGCCTGATGTATCATGAGCTGGCCTAATAAGGTGAAAGGGCATCCAAGGACTGGAGACGGACTTCCGCCTCCGTCTCAATCGCCAGTAGAAGGGGAGAGCTAGATGACCCTAGCTGTTTTCTATCGCTCAGCTCCCCACAAATTGGTCGATAGAGCGAGTCAGACACGCACAAGCGTCCTTTGGTTTGAAGATTACTCGTGCGGGGTGTCGTTGTCCAGGTTGACCCCCTTCGTCGTATTTACATGGACTCCCGCCTCCGTGGTCGGTTTGATAAACTCTTGCTAAGGTACCTCATCGGACCCGATGTCCGTCTGTCGCTCACCGTCGCCCAAATCATCTCTATCCTCGTGGACTTACGTATGGAGTCAGCAACTGGGACAAGATGGATCCACAAGCATCAGGGTCGCACTCTGTAACAGCTAGCATGATGTCTGAGTTGACCGGAATATCGTGAGATGCCCTCCATGTCGCTACCAACACTGCTTTTTGATGATTATTTCCCTGGAGCCAATGCAACACGTTCGCAACATGCTGAAAGTGACGAATGGAGTATTAGCTAACAGTGCGGTGCGCTGCTCTGTAGATGCGAGCGTTGTCGAAAACGCAAAGTTGGTGACCTTCTACAGCAGATTGGCTTGAGCTAATGAAAGTGAAGATCAAGTGTGACCGGCACAATCCTTGCTCCAAGTGTCGAGCGGCTAAAGTAGACTGCTCATACCCTTCTGGAGGTGAAAGATCACGGTAAGCAAGCAATAAGCGATGCTGAACACACCCAGAGCGGTTTGCTCGACATGTCCCATAGCTGACAGCTTCAAATGTAGTCCAGCTTCGAAGAAGCATGTGCAAGCCTTGGAGAGTCAGGTGAGCTCGCTGGAGTTGTTCATTCAAGATCTCGCCTCTGCCGATGATGCTACGAGGTCTCGACTCCTCGCCGGAATATCCTCATCATCGCCTCCATCATATCAACCGCACCCCCAACCTGCGAGCCAACCGCTCATGGTAGACGATCATGTGCCATCAGCTGCATTAGGCTCTCCCTCAGAGTCCGGAGATCTCGTCCTTGCCAGAGCAAGGGAGGGCCGGATGTGCAAGCTCGCGGCTGCGAGAAAGGCGTCCCAGTTTTACGGCGGCACCAGCTTGTTCATGCAACTCTCGGAGACGACACCCCCAAACCCTCAGCAACTTGCAGGGCCCTCTGAGAGTCCTGAAGAGCGCCGATTAGGCCCAGACACGGAAACTACACTCAACGACAACATGGAGTATCAGGCATACCCGTTTCAGCCCAAGGACGAAACTTGCCGTCAACTGATGGCAACGTTCTTCCAGACTGTTTACCAATACAACATGTGCGTCTACCGCGAATACTTCCTCCGAGATTATCATGCCGAAAGCGGGCCTTACTACTCAGACACGCTCATGTTCTCCATCTGTGCCGTCGGCGCCTCAATCTCGAAAGAGCCCGCACTCAGGGCACTCCTGCCAGTCTTTCTCAAACGCGCCGGCGCCATGGTCTTCGAATCCCTCGAGCTGCCCGATCTTACAACTCTCCAATCACTCATCATCTTGGGTCATCTAGAGATTGGACAAGGAAGAAGCTCAAAGGGCTGGCTGTTCTGCGGCATGGCGTTCCGCCTGACACATGAAATGGGCTTGCATTTGGATCCAGGAAACTGGACAAACAGCAAATCGGAATCTTCTGTCGACAGGGAGATCCTGCGGCGCGTCTACTGGGCGGTCTTCATTGTCGACAAGCAAATGAGCCTCTATTTTGGACGGCCGCCGGCGCTGTATCCTCACGAAGCCGACGTTCGAAACACGATCCGCATCCCGTACCCCCCTGAGTGGGAGAGCCTCCTCGACTCTTACATATCCAAAAGCACCTCATCCACGGCCTTCGAAGACGGCCTCGCCACGGTCAGTTCATTCACACATCAGGCCGAATTGGCCAAGATCTTTCACGTCTTGATTGTCGACGTGTTTGAGAATCGACTCAGGCAGACGTGTGCCACCAAGGCCGCTGCGACAGCACAACAAGTCCACACCTCTTTGGTCAAATGGCTGGCCACGCTGCCTCAGAAGCTACATTGGAACCAGTGGACTGTCGGACAAGTCCCGCCCTATGTCTTGCATCTACACATGGTTTTCCACACGGGCATGATCATTCTTCATCGGCCCCCTCGACAGCAACTCGACGATGATGCCATCGCTGCAAGCGAGGGTGTCGAAGTATGCTATCAATCGCTGGCAGCAATTCTTAGGCTTTTCAAAAGCTACTCACGCTACTACCGATTCGAGACTCTGCCACTAGACTTTGTGCACACACTCTCCGCGGCAGCCGAGGTTGTCATGATGAAGAGGTTCTTGGAAAAGTCCACATGGGACGACAAGGACATTTCGAAGCCTCTGGCGCAGATCCTGGACGCCATGGAGGCCGTCCAGAGCGTCTATCCGTGCATGCGCGGTATACGCGACAGCATACTCGAGAATATCAAATCTGAGGGCGTGGATGAGGAAGCTCAGCAACATCAGTATGGAGTTGAACTTGAGCTCATGGACCTCCTGCAATCTGCCGCGGCTCCATTTCCCGGAGCTTGGGGGACTGAAGATGCCGAAAGCGCGACAAGCGCTGATTTGGGGTTCTTGTTGACGGATGACTTTCTCAACCAGCACTATTCATGGGACAACGCAGGCCTCTGAATGCAACGTCACACAATGGGGTCCCTATGTTTTATCTGCTGCCAAGAGCTGACTTGCTACTGAGGGCGAAATACTGCCGCCGCTCAACGATTGCCTCATCCCACACAACAGCCCAAGACTCGGCCTCTCGTCTCAGGGCCAGGCTTCATTGAAGAGTACCACAGCAAGCACAACGCAGAAGCTCGGCTCTACCACGACCCTGGCTCTCTTGAAAAGAAGCTGCATTACGGGGTTGATGAAGAGCATCATCGATGCCTGCGTACACAATAGGTAGACAGGTAGACCATCAAGTTCTATCATACCCTGCCAAGGAGGTGAATTGGGTGTGGAACCAGGCCACCACGAATGAGTCAAGATGGAAGGTCAAGACGGCTCGGTCAGAAGCCGAAAGGACACGGAAGTCCGACAGTGCAGGCCTCGGCGCCCTGATCCATCCTACCAAGCTAGAGGATGAAGATAACCTCACTGGGATGCTCTGCGTCATTGGGTAGATATATGTAGGGTAGGTGCGAGGATGCGAAGTTTTATCTCGACAGACCCCATGAGGGAGATTGGGGCTGAAGTCAAGCAGTTAGGGGCAATGTGGCGGAGTGAGTGTATGAGCCGATGGAGGCCTCCATGTAGCTATCTACCATGCGCTAACAGCTCCCGTGGTGCCTTCACAAAAGGAGAGAAGGTCATCGAGAAGCTCGCTCGTGCTCCTTTGGAATGGCACTGGGCCGATGCTCAAGGTACATCCACCTTTCTGTCATTGTCGCGTCGACTTGAATATCCTCTGGAGTTGAGGCATCCAGTCAAACACTTCTTTCCCAATAAGAACATGCTCGAGAAAGCTGTTTCCACCGACTGAGCGCCGAAACGTCGCACCGTGTACAACCAAGGTATCATCGCCGGCGGGTTCGTCTTCTGTTCTGGCCAGCTTCCAAAGGATCTTGACGGGAACATTCTTGAGGGAACTGTCCAAGACACGACTGTGAGTTGATGCGTGAGCGTCGCCGAATCTCTTTTCTCGAGAGAGCCACAATACCTGTTTAATTTGGTCTAACTCAGGTGGTCAGAGCATTGGACAACACGTGCCTCGTGATTCCAGTTCCCAAGCCACGATTTGACTCTCTTTTCAGAGATTCTTCTCCAGCCAGTAGAAGCCATCGATATATCCCTGTCGCATCTTGACCGAGCACATGAATAGCTTGACGGCGCGGTTGCCGCAAGGCCCTTCAGGCCCGAGACCGAGTTTGTCGTAAAGCTCCGCCTCACCTACAGCCAGGGGACGGTCGATCTTGTTACCAAGGATGACAAAAGGCGTATTCCTGAGTTCTTCCATGGCCCAAAGTGCCTCTAATTCGGCCCGGGCCTCCGGGAAGCGCGCCCGGTCGGTAGCGTCCACGAGGAAGAAGACGGCGTTGGCATCGACAAGGTAATCCTGCCAGAGGCGAGGGGCCCCCTGACGGCCGCCGAGGTCAAATGTGTCAAATACGACGTTCCCGACCTTGATCTGCTCGTTGTTTGGGTGCACGGTCGGCGCCATGGCTACACGTCTGTTCGCGGCGATCTGGCCAAGCAAGGTAGTCTTGCCAGCGTTGTCGAGGCCGAGGAAGAGGACCTTGCCCTGCTTCTCGAAGAAACCGAAACTTCGGACAAAGTTGACGACACTGTCGATGAACCACATGGTAGCAGACTCTCTGCAGTCTTGTTATCGAAGGAGGTATGATGATGTGTTTGAGACTGACTTTGAAGGGCAGATACAAACTGGGATGAGTGACTGTGCTCTGCGCAGAGCATGCAGCGCGATGTCTTGAAGGAGACCGCTGTGTATTTATACCGTGGCAGAATTGGAAGATGACTATCTCCGATCTCCTTCAAGAGTATAAGGTCTATGAGAAAGTGTGCTGAGTTTGGTGAACTTAATCCACGGTCAGAAATGGCATCAGAGTCATCCTGGTGTCTGGGAGCTCGTGGCACTGGCGTGCTGAGGCGCGCAATCAACAAAATGAAAGTCTGTTCACGGTGTCAAAGTCGTTGCGAGAAGTTTTGCATTCAACTGCGGCGGGCGGTTTGACTTCCTTGGCATTCGCAGAGTGGGAAGTCCATGTTGCTGCCAATGAAGGGGATTTGTTGATAGCCAGTGCGTGAAGTGAGGGCCAGAAGGCAGGCCCCGTCACCGTTCCCTACAATATGGCTCCTGTTATCCACAGAACTACCACCTGGCCGAGCGGACACAGTTCTGTGTTCTTGAAAATATTGCTTCGTGTCATTGAATAGGCAACTGGAATGGATCTTCACAGGACGGGTACCCAAGGGCCAACATTTAGCAGCAGTTGTGGTGGTGATTCCGAGGCCTGGGCTGATAAGCCCTCTCCCCAAGCCACTGCCACTTGGCAGGCACAGTCCCGATGAGTGCCGGATTCCAAATTTAGCTCCCATGGATGTGTATTGTACCTACTATAAGGCTCAATTCGGCCAGTGCCTCGGGCTGTAGACCGTCGATTGCCTTTCTCAGCCCCCAGCTAGAGTGTCGACTAACAAGGGCGACGCAATGGTGGACATCATCCCGAGAGGTAGCGTGACGTCACCGCTGACAGCGTGACCAATGAAAGGCCACAAATCGGCCACATGGGACACCAAACGCCGTGTCGTAGCTTCCTAAGAAAAATTCACTACCCTAGGCAAGTCCTATCCAATAGGTACCTACCTTAGGTGGTCCATGTACAGGAGGGCAGGGACGACTGCCTCAATCTCAGGTTGTCACTGCAGCCAGCGCCGCCAAGAACTGGCTCGCTTTTCTCAACTCTCAAATTCGTGTCATGATAATACCTCAGCTGCCCTCATCGCCAACCTCGCCACAGGCTGCGTGACAGGCGAAGCAGACCCAACACAAACATCGGCACTATGGGCGACAATGCGGGCCGGCAGCCGCCGCCATCGATCGGCCAACAGGATGACATTGCTCTGGCGGTGACACAATCCCACGAGGCTACCCGTCCCGGCCCCGGCGAAAAGGAGACACTCAGCCAGCCGTGCCTTGCAACATCGCACGGCGATAACGATGACTTGTCCCACGACGTCCCTCGAGCAGGCAAGAAGAAGGGTCACGGTTACTTTGGGAAGCACGGCAAGCTGAGGCCGTTTCGCCTGCTCACGGCTGATTTTCACAACATCCGCAGCCGCTACTTCTCTGACTGGACCGTCTTCAACCAGCTCGTGCTGGCGAGTACTGTCTATGTCTTCTTCACCAATCTGCTCCCAGGCATCACCTTTGCCGGCGACCTCTATGTGCTGACTGGTGAATCCTGGGGAACCATCGAAGTCGTTTTCAGTACTGGTCTCTGCGGCATCATCTTCGCTCTGTAAGTACCCTCTGCTGTGTGCCGTCAGACCCCCGCCCCCCAGGCAAACGTACCTTCGGAACCCCTCCTGACCACTGCCAGCTTCTCGGGCCAGCCGTTGACCATCCTCGGTGTCACGGGCCCCTTTACTGTTCTCGCCGAGAACATCTACAAACTCTGTGAGGAGAACTTTGGGGTCCCCTTTCTCCCCGTCATGGCCTGGTCGCTCATCCATGCCGGCTGGATGCACTACCTCCTCGCCATATTCAACGCACACGACTGGACCATGCAGTATGTCACTGACTTTAGCGCCGACATTTTCTCCCTGCTCAACAGTGTCATTTACTTCCACAAGGCTGTCCGCGAGCTGCAGCGCACCAAGAAGATTGTATCCATCGCCGCATTCCTCTACGCCATTATTGGCTGCGCCGGTACCTGCCTCCTCGCCATTCTGCTGTCGACCGCCAATTCGTGGCAGCCCCTTTTCCACAGGTACATCCGCATGGGACTGGCCGAGTACGCCGCCGCCATCTCCATCATCTTCTTCATCGGCATGCCCTATGTCGGCGACCTCGCCACCCTCGACCACAACCGGCTGATGGTCCAGAAGAACCTTCGGCCCTCGTCCCCCGAAAGGACTCAGTTCTTCGTCGAATTCTGGAAGGTGCCCGTTGAGTGGGTGTTCATCTCCATCATCCCGGGCTTCATCATCACCGTCCTCTTCTACTTTGATCACGAGATTAGCAGCATCATCTGCACAGCCAAGCGGTACGGTGTGCAGAAGCCTGGGGGCTACGCTTGGGACATCGCCCTCCTCGGCACGACAACAATCCTCTGCGGTATCCTGGGCATCCCCCCGGCCAACGGCCTGCTTCCTCAGGCTCCGCTCCACTCCGAGTCGCTGATGCACAGCGTCATTGAAGACCCGGGCGCTCTCACAGACCCCGAGCCGGGCGAGCCGCCCCCAAAGCCTGTCACGCGCGTCTACGAGCAGCGCTACTCGCACCTCATCCAGGCTGTCGGCATCCTCATTTTTGTCACGCCGCCGTTTCAGCATGTCCTCGGCTTGACGCCCACCTCAGTCCTCGCCGGTCTCTTCCTCTTCATGGGATATCAGTCGCTGTCTGTCAACCCGATTCTCAGCCGCATCGGTTACCTGGTGACCGCGCCCGCCGACCTCCCGGAGCTGCCTTCAGGTGCCTCGTGGCTCGGCGTTCACAGTTATACCATTACCCAGCTCGTCCTCACTGGCATCGTGTTTGGCGTCACTCTGACCGTCGCGGCGCCGGGGTTCCCCATCATCATCATTGTCCTGGTACCCATACGCCTGCATCTCATAAGCAAGATCTGGAGCCGCGAGACGCTCCGCTACGTGGATGGCTGGGCGACGCGCGAAGGTAAGCCTGAGGATAATGAGGACGACCGGCGGACGGATGGCATGATGGACCGAAAGACGGAGGCTGTCGACGAAGAAAAGGGGGCGAGGGCTATATAGGGACATGTGCAGAAGCGCAATTTTACACTCAACACTATGAAAGCAAGACTTGACCAATTGTGAGAGGCACTCTATTGGTTGAGACCAGAACAGCATGTCTTGGAATTCAAGTCGTGAGTCAGGGAAGAGCCGTAGCAGCAGAGTCCTGACTAGCGCGCCGAGAAGGCCGATCCCCTCTTCCCCGCGATTGACCCCAAGGACCAGCCAACGACATCGACCCCCGCCGCCGATGGGATGTACGGTCCGTCTGCGGATGTGGATAGCCGACCGGATCCTGGGAAACGGCCATAAGTCTCAGCGTCGACCCCAGACCTCGAACGACCTCCTCGGTCCTTTGAAGTCAGGGTTGGTCGCTTTTGCAGCCTGTCACGACCACAGCTTGTCACCACTTGACCCCCACAGCCAACAGCCAACAGCCCTCCTCCAGCCTCCCATCTGTGAAGCCCCATCGCCTTGAGAAATCCACACATCGCCCCCTGGCCCAAGCTCACCATCATGGCCCTCAGCGTCGCCGGCAAGTACGCCGTCATCACAGGCGCTGGCTCGGGCATCAACCTCGCCTTCGCAAAGCAGCTTCTCGAACGCGGCTGCTCGGTCCTCATCGGCGACCTCGCGCTGCGGCCCGAGGCCGAGGCGCTCCTGGCGCAGTACCCCAAGGGACGTGACAGCGGCGGCAGCGGCCAGCCGCATGCGCTGTTCCAGGCGACCAACGTCGCGTCGTGGCCGCAGCTGACGCGCCTCTGGCAGCGCGCCCTCGCGGCGTTCCCGCAGGTCGACATTGTGTGTCCCGGGGCCGGTCTCTTCGAGCCGACACGGAGCGCCTTCTGGCACCCGCCGCGTACGGCGACGAACCCGGACTCGCCGAGCACGGACCCGGCCGACGCGGACCCGGGCACGTACGCCGTACTCGACGTCAACCTCACGCACCCGATCCGGTTATCGCAGCTGGCCGTGGGCCACTGGACGCAGGCGCGGCGGCCGGGGTGTCTCGTGCACGTGAGCAGCATCGCGGGCCACGCCGTCGGGCTGGGCTCACCGCTCTATTTTGCCAGCAAGCACGGGCTGCACGCCTTTGTGCGCAGCCTTGGCTCGCTGCGCGAGCATCTCGGCATCCGCGTCGGGGCCGTGGCGCCGGGGGCCGTTATGACGCCCATGTGGCTCGAGGACCCGGACAAGCGGGCTATTCTCGACGCCGACGCCGGCGCCGCCGACATATTCATCCACCCGGACGAGATTGCAAGGGGCATGATGGCGCTGTGCGAAGACCCGGCGTACGGCGACGGGACCATCCTCGAGGTCACCAAAGGGGCGACGCGTGTGGTGCCGCTGTACCATGCCGAGCCGCCTAGCGGGGTCGGGAGCATGGTGCCTGGGTACCAGAAGGCGGCAGACGAGCTGGTCACGTATCTGAAGGGGGGCGTCAAGGTGTGACGAGGCGCTTGATGTGGTGAAGACTTTCTGTTCGTCAAGGTCAGCTTGTTTTTTGTTCGGCGCGAGCAAGTAAATCATGTCGATCCCATGACCGGGGCAAGGAGACTGCAGATTCCTCTGGAGATCCGCCCCCAATGTCACACTGTAGCTACCATTCGTTGTATTTCATGATGCGTAATGTTGTCAACCCCGTGGTCGAACATTGATGCGCAATGGGCAGATGCAAGTCAGAATTGCCATGGACCATGACGGTGACACAACATGATGGAGCATAGAGAGATGATCTCATGAAGAAACAGGCATGGCGCAACAGTTGAGCCATGTCCCTTGCCAATCCCACCTCCAACGTCACCAGCAGACGCCAGTCAACCCCACCAGCCGCTAAGGAAGTCCAGCCTCTGAGCGGCTCCTCGGTCCCAGCAAGATGAATGGCAGCATGGACACCAAGGAAGCTTGACCGAGAGATCGACATGCTGATATGCAGACTGTCAGGACACCGCCTTCACACCTGCAGTAAGCAAAAGGCGCAGGAGGCGCGCCTCATGGTCCGCGTATGGGAGTGCGCACCAGAGCGTATCAGAACCGCCTTCGAGGCCCGAACGTTCTTCGATTCGGGACCAGAACCAAGGAAGAGAAACCCATCTGCGTCTGGACGACGAATGGGCCGGCGCCACCTGTCTCGTCTCAGAAAAGCTCACCCGCCGACGTGGGAGGGATGTTCGCCCCGCGTCGTCTGCCGTCAGCAGCGGACTCTGTGAGTTCTACCACTGTCTGCGGGCGCGGGCGCGGGCGCGCATAGCTTGCGTGTGGCCTGGTCTCGCGCGGCCGCTGACGTGGGACGACACGCACAGGTCGCGGCTGTCGTCCAGATGCCATCGCATTTCTCCCTTCCTTTTGCGGCGCGCCAGCTGTTCTGACAACGTTGGCTCATCTGGGGGCGATCCGCCGCCGGTGAGCGAGAAGGAAGGCAGGGGGGGTCAAGGCCGTGGAGTGTCGATAGACGAAGACACGAAAGCAACACTCGTTGATGACGAGAAGGAGTCTTAGCGACGTTGCAGTGAAGGGGTCCAACCCTTCGCAGGCGGCCCATGCCACTGGTATGACAGGGGACGAGGGGTACATAGCAGGGCAATCAATCGTCAATTCGGCGTGTGACTGTGAGGAGTATCGGCCAAACAGGACGGCGATGCTGAAACCCTTGAGTCGAGGTTTGGTCGGCGTCCGATGCATTGCTTCGCCGTTCAGTAGTCTCCGCAGTGATGGGGGCTTTCGGCGTTCATCGCTAACTCCACGGAAGTTCACAGCGTGGTAGGCGAGGTGGGGATTGCGGTCGGAATGTGAATGCCGTGGACAGTAATGTCCATCCTATCCCCGGGGTTGGATGAGATGGGAGATTCACGCAAACGCCGAGCACCGACGCGCGAGGGGCAGGCGCGGCAGTAGCACCCACCCCTCATGCCGTTTATTACGGGTACCTCCTTCCTTGCACCACCCTTCACCCCCTTGCGCCTAAAGGTACTTGCTCACCGGCCGGCTCATTCCTTCACGTTCATCGTCAGCGACCATGTTTGGGTCAGCAGAACGGGGGAAGGAACCACCTATGGCGCAGAGGAGGAGCAAGTCTGTTGGCCGAGGGAGGTACAGCCCCAACCAGCGCCTTCGAAACGGCTGCCGCAGCCGTTGGCTGTTTCCCGTCATGTCTCTGTCAGATGCGAGTCCGCCACTAAGCGGGAGTCAGCGCCTGTTGTCAAGACCCGTCAGAAGTCCATTCATCAGCTGCGGCGCAAAGAGGATTGAGGCCGGCCAAACACTCGTCCTCCAGCCTCGAAGCTTACGACCCCTTCTCCGGCACTGTAGTGTGAGTGTGGGCAGCATGCGTGGCGCCTGTCGGGTCGGTTTCGACGCATAAGCTCGTCGCCTGGGTTCGCGGTTGGGTTGGCATTGGTCGCGGCGAGGAGGGGGTCTTTGGTCGATTACTACCAACTACCTTATACTCTCGCCTTCACGCAATTAGTTGCATGCGGAACCAAACCATGGTTTGCTGCCTGCGGCGGAGCTATTACTCATCAGCCTTGAAAGGGAGGGGGAGGGGGAGGGGGGTTGCGTGAGAGGCCAGGTGGGTTACTGTACGAGATGTCGGGTGGGTTCAAACCTGACCTGTGGTGGGTTCAGGTGGGTTGGGCCCTGGAGCTATACCGTGAGCTTTATTCGAAGCTTCCTCCGCTTGAGCTTGAGCTTGAGCTTGAGTTTGAGCTTGAGCTTGTCTACCTGTGCGGCTTACGTGGTCACCGTATGCGGCGAGCGGCTGAAATGACCGAAATTCTGTTCCTCGGGCGAGAGCGCATCTCCATCTTTCGTGTTAGCACGGAAGCTGAGAGAGCGAGAGAGAGAGGGTGTATTCTCAGCCTGTCCATCGTTTGCAATTCCAACATGCCGCGAGCGTTCATCGCAACCTTGCGGCGGCCAACCACCAGCCCTCCATCATGTGTGGGTGAGACTTACAGTAAGTAGAATGAAGTGGCGGACAATGCCCAGGCGAAAGCTTCTCTCGGGTCGAACTCTCTCCTTGCTTTGCCCTATCACCAAGCAGAATCCATTGCGCGCCGTCCGCGGCCTCGAAAAATAGGATGAAAAGACAGATGAGTCCATCCAAGTCGATGGATGTAGCTCCGGAAGGGCGCAGGCGCCAAGGGCATGTTGAGCATGTAGGATGCAGTCGGTCACCATGAAGTCTCTTCATGTACCTTCCCCCCCGCCACTCTCTCTTGGCGCTTTCCGACTTGGCTGGCCATCTCCTCACCTACCCCCCTTCCTGTCGAACGAGCTCACATCATGTCACCCAACCCCCAGAAGATGCCAGGGCGACTGCGCAAGTTCACCCACGGCACGGGCGAAATGCGAATGCGTGGGCCGAGCTTCCAAAGCTTTACGGAGTGGATAGCGCATGGCCAAGGCAGGGCTGTGTGAGGAGAAGAACCCACCAGGCCGCATCCAAACCCTCTTCCCCCGTCCCCCCTTATGCCATTCCTCAGGCGCACCTCGTTTCCAAATCGTCAAGGTCGATCCAATGAGACGATCCGACCACGTGTACTCCACCTGCCAGGAAGACGCCAGGTGCGGCGCGTGCGGTGGTGCTGAATGGGCTCCCCGTGAGGACGACACGGCACGCGTAGGGCGCCTGAAGGGGGTGGTTTTCTGGGGTGGCGTAGTCATAGGCATTTCAGCACAGGCATGTCGTAGACAGGCACAGGCACAAGACTGGCATGGGCGTCGTCGGCGGGGCGGGGGGGGGGGGGGGATAGATACGACGGAAAGTACGAGGAAAGCGAAAAGACGCGGCCAAATAGATGCGAAGAGGCGCAACGCACACAGTCCACACAGACACATCCCTGTCTTTACGATACGCGTACTTGTACATATACGTGTGCAGTCCCCCTCCAGACCTTGACCCCCATCCACCGTTGCGATAGGGTTGAGGAACTGGCCCCGAGGCACCTAGGTAGTAAGAAAATTTGCCATTATGTGAAAGCGTAAGGTTCAGTCAGCGAATGTTTGATGCGCATGTGCGCGCGCACCTGGTCCTCCCCCCCAAATTTCCAGGGCGAAGGCGAAGTAAAGGGGTCAGCGAGCTGTCCAATCGCTGCGATTCCAACCCGAGGTCAGGGGGTGGACTTGGGTGCAAAGTATGGCGGCGGAGCAATGACCAGAGCAGAGACCAGTGCGGAGTTGAAAGCCGAACGCGCGGGTTGGAGGTATACCAGGAGTCGGCGATCAGGAGGGGGGTTCAGGGGAATCTCGAGTGTTGCGACGGTGCAAAACAGCAGCGCCAGCAAGATGCACTGCAGTAATCCATTCACCATGGTACCATGGTATGGTTCAAGGGGAAGGAAGAGCGAGAGAAGGGGAGAAGGGGGGCCAACAGCAGTCTCGGAGACTGAAGCGCTTCGGGGCGGAGAGCACAGCATCAAAGTCCGAATGCGAAGAACCCCGCCCCCCTAGCAAAGGTGAGAGAGCACTGTCGCGGGGAAGGGAAGATATATGCGGGCGCCGTAAAACCCGCGCCGCGAGGCCAGCCCTGGGAGGGATTCTTCCTCTGGGCATTCGCCTAGAAAGGGTCCTCGCGCGCGCCACGCAGATGTCTTGGAGGCAATACGACTCATTCGTGAGGACAAGGCTAATAATGTTAATCAAGGTTAATGACGCCCATCTCAGCGTAGCATGGCCTTGACCTTGGCTCACCTTACCCCCTCCCCCCATGCTCTGTTTCCCACTGCAACCAAGGGATAGAGAGAGCGCGACAGGACTCGGCGGCGCATCGTTTGAAACACAGCCACGGTGAACGCGTCGTCTCTCATCTCCCACGAGACATGATGGGCGAAGAAGAAGAATAAGGTAGACTCCCCTCCCAAAGCGCCCAGCACGCCAGAAGCAGAAGCAGGTGGGGTCCCCTTCACCACACTTCATCAAGGGGACCAACCCCAACAGCGTCAGAAGATGTGGGGTTCAGCACCCACGCGCACACACGCCCAGCACAGACCAAGACATGGCCAGAACAGGCCACCGTCCACGGGCAACGGACTGTCCAAGGCCCCGAACCTCCGACTCCGAACCCGCTCGGCGCCCCATCTTCCTCCGTGTGTAGACGGGTCTGTCCAAGGTACGTCGATGTGCAATGCAGGAAAGAGACAAGGAAGGAAGGGGTGGAAAAGAAAAAAAAAGAAGAAAAAAAAAACCCCTCCCCCCACAGATACTCCTCAAGGACCTTTGGTCCCTATGCTGAAGTCTCTTGCGTGCCGCGGAACGCGTTCCATCCATGCATCATGACCCATCGCAGGGATTAGAGAAGCAAACGAGATGACCTCGAGCCCAAGAGAAGAAGCCATGGAAAACCGCCGTGGACTTTTTTTCACTGCCGTCAGCACCAGCCAGATTGAGGCAGCAATCAATCAGGCACCCCTCGGACAGGGAATACACTTCAATGCCCCTAACCACCACCACACACCCCCCCCTGGTCCTCCTCCTGACACTCGCGCACACGCACACAGGCACACACCACACACCACACCCCTCCCCCGGCACTTTCCCAGTGCTTCGGTCCCCTTCCCGCAACGCGCGCCCTGCCCTGCCCATCCCATCGCACAAGGCAGAAAAGTCGGGATCGATCATGATCGCTGTCTCCATATAAGTCCGCACACAAGCTACTGTATGTGCCTTACCCATCTACCTACAGGTACAGGTACATGCCCAAGCCACCTGGACCCTCCCTGGTCCACCCATCTCTCTCACGCTCGTGAACAGTGAACCGGCCACGGCACCCCCCGAGACGACCTTGCATAAACTTATGCCCAGCGCTCGCTCTCGTTGCGCCTGCCTGGCATCGTCCTTTCGGGGTCGTGGGTGCGACAGCGGGCCCGTTGCCAGTTCTTCGGACCCCGTCCTTGTCCCAGTCCATTTCCCGTCGGCCATGTCCACGGACTGGACGCCACCCCTGAAGTGATGACCCTTACGGGTTTTTTTTTCTGGGAACCTCTCGATGCCCACCATGTTTTTTTTTTTTTTTTTTTTTTTTTTTTTGGTGGAGTAGGCCTGACCAAAAAGATTTCACGTGAGAACAAGAAAAATAGGCTGGGGAAGCGGAGATGCCTCCCGCAGCATCAACTCTGCCTACCTCATGCGAGTAATGTCTCCATTCATCCAGTCTCTATACTGCGTCATGGCCTGTTCTAGGAGGGGGGGCTGATCCTCCTCCTCGCTCGCTCGCTTGCTCGCTTCAGAATCCGAAACCTGCATCCCTCTCTGTATCTGGGCGTCCTGGCGAACGCGAGGAGAGCCGAGCCGTCGCATTTCAATATTCCATCCGCCCCTCCATCATGTCACCAACTACCCAGTTGCAATTGCCGCCCCGGCCCCCAGCCACCCGCCCCGACCACCAGCCCCCGTCCCTCCATGCCATGGTACCGCATCGCATTCGTGAATTTTGCAATGTTGGGGACCGAATGCGCTCTGCTCTCCATGATCTGATCTGGGCCTTTTGTGCCTCGCGCCTCGCGCCCCGCCTCTCGCCTCGCGCCCCTCGCCCCTCGCCGGTGTCAGGCGAGGGGCCCTTTTCTCTGCCTGTACGTCGATGCTGTGGCTTGCTGGCCTGTCGGCGAGTTGAGCCGTTGGCATAATGAGGCTTGGTGGGGTCCGAATGCGATAGCGAATGCGATGCCATACGATACCTTTCAACACGAACACAACACGACACGATGCAGTGCGATTGACTTGGTATATGCGAAAGAATTCTGGTTCTCCATTGCAGTTGCCTCATGCTATACCTTGCAACACCAAACCATGCACATGCCAAGGTCTTCCGACTGATAGCCGATTCCTCGCATACGAAAACGAAAAAGAGGGGGGGAATGTGCCTGTCGGACCCCAACCAAGCGCCGAGCCGATCCCCTTTGCTGCCCGCAATAATGCAGAGGCCATTTTGCTGACCTGCCAAAGTGTGCTTCTGTCGCTGTTGTACATCAAACATACCCCATGTGGCTCATCCTAATCATGTTTCCCGTGAACACCATTGCCCCTCAGCACCCAACCGACTGTCTTCGCCGTTGTGAGATATATATGTAGATGAAAATGGAAAGGAAAAAGAAAACCCCAGACCCGGTAAACGCCGTTGAAACTCCGTCGCCCGAGGCGGTTCAAGCTTTTAGAGTCGCATGGATTCGGCGTCGTAGCCGCCGTACATCATGGGATCTCCCATGCCCATCATGACCTCGGGGTTCGGGCATGACAGCATGTGAGGCTTGATAGTGCCGAATTCCGACTCCATAAGACCTTGATTGAGCATGTCCATATTTGTGAGAGCCCCTGACTGTTGGAGGAACTGTTGCGTCGTGAGATCCATCGATGTCGGCCTCGTAGCCCACTGCGGGACGTAAGATGCAACGGCGGCCGGCGGCCCTGGAAACATGACCGAAGCATCGACGGGTGATGTCACGCTGTCGACATCAAACTCGTTGTAGCCACCAACAAAGCTCTGCGGTGACAGTGTCACGTTGCTGTTGTTGCCAAAGACCTGTTTGCGATAGTCGGCCTCAAAATCCGAGTGATCCAGCTCTGACGAGCTCGATCGGTCAGAAAGGTTGCAGCTCGACCGTGACTCCATCTCGACCTTAACCGTCTTCTCAATCTCGTGTTCCTTTTGCTGCTGCTCTTCCAGCTGGCGCGCCAGCTCGGCCAGACCAGCTTCGTCTTCGGGGAATATCGAATGAACAGGGAGGTCGATATCGCTGTTGGGGCGTATGCAACCAAGCTTGGAAGCAATGTTGTGAATGACTGGCTGTCCCCTATCGTTGAGCTCTGGTTCGCCAAGGTCCCATTGTTGCTGATTCCTAAGCATGCTGTAGAGTTTGTGAACCGTCGCGACCAGGGCGAACTGTGTGTGCTCGAGGACTTCGGCGTAGCCCTTGGGTAGCTGCTTGTACTCAGTCTTCTTGCGAAGACCTGCCGTGCAGACCAGACCATCATCCTTACACCTCTTGCAAGGGAATTCTCCGTCGCACTATGTGAAATTGCACGTTAGGATGACCGAGTCGTGAGAGAGTATAAGTGAGAGTGGGCCAAACAACGACGTACCTTGGTCTTCTTCATTCTACACCTCTCACAAGCTTTCCACACCCTCTTGTGACGTCCGTCAGCCATGCCGTGAGCGGCATGATCATGATGCGCCGTGGCGTTGTGTGGGCTGGCACGTTTGGATGTGTGACGATTGGGCTTGATCGACTTGGAGCTCGATGAGCTCTTCCTTGAGCCTTGAGACTTGTTGTCCTCCAGCGGAGGAGAAGGCAGACCACCACCCATGTTGTGTATAAGCAGATTCCAGAAGGCTTAAGGTATGTGCTTGGGAAAGTGAGGCTGTGTGTCGTCGACGGCAAGTAGGAACGTTAAGCCAAGATGAGAAAAGTGTGGAGGGAGTCTGATCGTGGAGGGGAGGGGATCAGTGTAAGTCAAGTACTTGATCAGAAATGTGAAGGGCTAACACTATGGTGCTTGCTCAGCATAACAGATGACAGGGATGGGGCAGCCAGGCATGTGAGGTGTGCCGTGGAGCTGAGCAGGGGGGGGGGGTGTTGTGAAGAGGGGTGCGGACTTGAATGACTCGGCCGATTATTAATGACAGATGAGGAAAAGGGGGGGGGGCTTCGAGCGGACGGTAAAGGGCACCAGATTATGTGATAGTGTCGGAGCCTTTTTTTGAGTTCAGACACTGATACTGGTCTGCTGCAAGACAAATGGTGATAGGCCCTGCTATGTCCGAAAGACGCCGGAGACGGAATGGAGACAGCACACCACGGTCGCTAAGAGGTCGCCGTCTGGTCCCTGAACGAAGTCCGCACTGGAACTGGGTAAGTGGGGTGTATGGCCGAAAAGTGTGAGATAATGTGCGATTCTGGCGCTGGTGATGACCGTTATTACTGCTTTAAGCTGGGCAGTCTACGTGAAGTTGTGTTCTCGCGGTTGTTTTTGGGCGGTGAGTTGAGATGAGGCTCGTTGAGCTGTCGTTCTACTTTGACTTTCTTCCTTGAAAAGCGTTTCCCGTCAAAATTGGTGGGTGGGCTCGAGTTACTGATGCTGTCGCAGGTGGCGTTGAGATCTTGAGTAGCTGTGGGAGTTGATCTGGGGACGATAGGCGTACAGGATGGGGAGTGGTGCTCTGACAGGACACCAAGGCGTGTTGGTGAGGATAAACAGGTGTGTAAAATACCAGAAGTATCAGTTTGGCCCGGCAGTGGGTTGCCTACGAGCATCTTATATTGGCAAGGTTCCGCGGTCCCAGTCCATGAGAACAGCATGACGGGCTGTGTGCGCAGGGACATCAACGCATCGGGGTCTCATCGTTTCTCGGTGACTACCTAGCAGCCTGCCCTTCTGGCATCCAGAGGGGGGGAAAAGAGGGACGGAGGATCTTAGGGCGCATGGTACCATGACATGACTGTCGTTGACGTGCGGGAAGGACAGGGTTGACGTTTGAATGAGGGGGTACCTCGAGGTACATCGGGGGTTGCGAAGTCCCCGATGGTCCTGACGAGTCTGACGGTGTAAGCCAGGGCATGGCCAATTCGAGGCCCACATACGGGGTGTTGCTACGAAAAGCTCCGAGGCGCCTGGCGTACTGAAGATTGCTGGCTCCTCTTTCTTGATTCTGGTTTTCCTTCACTCGCTCTGTGTCCTTCATTTGGGCAGGATGCTGCATGGAAGCTCTTTCGTCAATTGTGCGTGAGCGCCCCAGACTAGATATGTGGAGTGTCAGCGGGCTGCCTTAGGTGGTGCTGTCGTGGCAGGCGCGTGAGCGACGATAAGTGTGTTGGGAAGCACACCGTGAGATGCAGCGCCTGTACTGCCCCCAAGTCGCCGAGCTTGAACTCAGCAATCAAGGGTAGCTCGTAATCGAGATGCATCGCCCAAGGGGCACCATGGGCAAGGCCCATGCGTAGAAGCGTAGGCTGTGTGGGATCGGCCACCTGGCCTGTACGTGCCCGACTTGCTTCCTTGCGCGAGGCGGAAACGCGGCACTGAAGACGGCGGCCGATTTTGATCGCGAACCCCGTGCGGCGTGTGACGGAGTATGACGACCACGAAGCGCAGACGCCTGGAGCCCGAAGCTTGGTGTCCTGTTCCACTGGGAAAGCAACAGCGAAACAACAAGCCAGCCGCCTAGACTGACAGCAGTTGTGCCGCTGCCACCAGCCCCCCTGTCAATTTCAAGACAACAAATATGATACAGGGCGGCCGCGGCAGCGGTGCAAGACGGAGGCCGAGCCTATGCAAGATGAATCATCAGTCGGCGCCGACAGCCTCAACGCCCTTGTCAAGACTGATGCTGCGTCGCCCCAATTTCCATGTTTCCTCCTTGGCCCATGGGCGGTCCATGGATGGCCCATGGATGGCCCATGATGGGAAATGCCAGCAAAGGCACGACGCAGGGTTATGGTACAATGCTTCTTTGTGCGAAGGCGGTAAGGCTGACAATGAAGGATGGGCACAGTTATGCTGGTCTACATGGTACCTTGGGCACCTGGGGGCGCTGATGACAGCGGACGCGGCGTGCTAGAGCGACGAATGGTGAATGCACATTCACCCTCGCACCATCGTAAGGCCCCCAAAAGGCCTTCCAGGTTGTCCAGACAGGTGTACCAAAGGAAGTTGTTACAAACCCATGCACGCACGGTGGTGCTGCTCATCTGACGGTTGAGTGATGGTCAGTAACAACGAAAGCAGAGGGCAGAAGTTGTTTGGTCGATCGCGCCCGGAAGAGGCCAAGGGCGACGAGGAGGTGGAGTGGGACGAGTGGTGGAAGCCTATTTGACTCTGATGTAACCCAGATGCTGCGTGTGGGACAAGCGTGTGAAGCTGTTCTGACACCAGCACCGGGGCGATGCCTCTATTCTCCGTGGGTCCATGGTGTTTTGCTCGGACGCTGGACGCTGAATGCTTCGAGCAGCGATTGAGTCTTGACTGAAGAGAAGGGGGGCTGGGAGGGCCTCTGAAGCTGCTGGGTCGTGATCAGAGATCGATCAGTTACCAAGTCGGCCCAAGGCGAGTCATGTAGATGGTCTCCGTCAAATAGATACAGATGCGTAGCGACGCATAGGGATGAACGCACGCTGTAGCTACCCTACGGTGGCGACGCGCAATGCATTCAGAAGTGGCATGAGGATGATGAAGCAGAAGAAATGTGCCCCCGCTCCCAAGATGCAAGGCGCAAGTCGACATGTCTGTCTTACCTGAACAGGTTTGACGCGACTTCTTCTTTGGCCGCCCCAGTTCCGTTTTGGGCACCTTCGACTGATCAGGCGCGCGCGGGTCGGGCGCTGCTGCCCGCCAGGATAGCCTCCCTCCTCGTCATGGCCGGGCAGGAGCTATCCAGAGCTGGCTTCGCGCGCGCGGTAGAGCCATGGCTGGCAGACGAGCGGCGCTAGGTGAATCCGAGTCCGAGGACCGAGCCATGTATCTTTCTGGGTACCTCTTTCCCTTCTTCCTCCTTCCCTACCCTACCTTACCTACCTAGGCACCAGAGCAGGTAGGTAGCAGGCAATCATACCCATCATACAATTCATCAATTAAGCTCAGCCACTGACAACTCGGTTTCGGAAGGGGGTGCCAGGTCCACCTGTGCCGCCCTCCGGCGGTGCTGCGTGCCTGCTTTCCCCATCATGCCCTTGTTACCTGGATCATTTGGCCACAGTACGACAATATTTTTCAATTCCCGCTTTGCCTTCTCTTTGTTCGAAAGAACTACTTGGCACTTGACGGAGTACGGCAAAACCCCAAGTTTACTCCTGCAGCTGCAGCTTGTGCAAAAGATCACCACCAGGGTTGCAAACTCTGTCAAGGGTAGACCGCGGGGGGGGGGATCTCGAACACCACCAAACAAACCTAGCTGGCCGCGCGGTTGCAATAGGGGATATCAGATCAGGCATGATTTCATCTCCAGGCACTGCCCAGACACTGCCTGCGCCCGTCGTGGCGCGATGGGACCCCAGTGCTCAAGTTGACTTTGCCAGTGCTACTACATATCCCCGTCACGAGCTTGTTTCTGGCGAGGGCCACCGGCACTTGTAGCGATTATTGACATGGGCATGCATGTACCAAGAAGCGGCTCAAAGTTTGTGCCGCAGCGAGCTGGCCTCGGACCTCCTCCATGTCGTCGACGCTGAGTTGATGCTCGCCGTCCAGTCGGTGAAATCGCCATACAAAAGAGCCGGCGACGGCCATTGCACATTGCATGTCGGCAACAAAAAAGACCGATACCGACTCGGTTGAGCGAATCGCTTTCGTTACTAGTCTTGGTGCCTTGGCCCTACCAGGCTTTTGGTAGGATCGACCACTAGCTGCTCGAGCTGCCCCCCACTACACGGCTCCAAGTGCCGTGTGCATGGTGATGGTCCATTGCCTGATATTCACGCTCCTATCCACCGTCAAGTAGCACGCTAACGAGAATGACACAGCGAGCCATTGTCGAGGCCAGCCCATCTTCGAGAACCCAAAATCGCCAACGGTGGCGTGGCCGATCCTAACATGGATGGCAGGCTTGGGCAGGCCAACATCGAACAAAGGTCAAACATGCCTGCACACGCCCTTCAACCTCCACTACCTACGATCCAGTATGGAATAACAAGCACGGTCTCCACGTTTCGGAACTTTCCACTCGTTGTTGCTCTATTTTAGTCAGCGGACTTCTCTCGGCAGCGCCCGCAACCACGGACTTTACTTTAATACTTTTTTTGTGCATCAAGGGTTCCGGGAGATCTCATGCAGGCCATAACCCACGGCATAAGTGCACGAGATCACGGAAATGCACCCCATGATCTGTTTTCATGGAGAGATTCGGAACGGCAAATGGACGATTTGAAATTATTTTGTCATATCTTGTCAAACTTTGGAGACCTTGTGTGCGGAGATCCGCAGTCCGTGGAAAAGCCGCCGGCCGCCCATTCAATTTTGACGGCAACAAACAAGGCTGCGTCGCCCGAAACGGACTCTCGGCCTTTACCTCAAGCCAACAGTAACTGTGCCAGGCATCTTGGATCGTTCGGGCGAACCACGCTCTTATGTCCAAACTCCACCGTCTCCACCTCTGATCCGAGGCATGACGTCCAAGCGTAACGCGCTTTCGGTGCAGGTACCTGCCTGGACCTGCACACCAAGAAGGCGTGCCGCATGCCTCGACAGAAAGTTTGCGGACTTCAGATCTCCCGTCCACCCGCTCCTCGTACTAGAGTGCGTCCCTGCTACCCCTGGTCTCGCTCGCGCTCGGGCGATGCTGCGGGATCGTAGAGGTTCCGCCCGCGGCGGACCTCCTGACAAGCGGAACCCCCACGGCGCCGCTGAGAAAAACATAGACGCCATGGCATCCTTGCCATTACCCGGTGATTGACAGGCTTCTTAGCTCGTTCGGCTTGTTGAACTGGAACCGCCAGCTCGGGTCTCGTGACGGATACTGCCAGCTGGCCGTCCACATTGGTGACATCACCACAAGACTGCATCGTTACGCGGAAGGAAGGTTAAATGGTCTCGACCGGTGCAAATTGAGCCAAGGCTCCGGCGGGCGCTCAAGATGCCTCTTCGGTCAGTAGCTTTGGAACATTTTACTTCTTTCCGACAGAGCTTGGCGACGATCAACACCCGACAACGTCTCCCGGCCCGGAGGCTTTCCTGTATCATCAGATCAGGCCAGACTCGCCCGCCGGACGCTGAGATCCACGACGAGGAGCAACGTGGGTGCATGAAGGCTCGGGCCCCACCTAGGATGCACACGCCGTCAAGTAATCTGTGTGCAAAGTGCTGTTTGCGAGCGAGAAGCAGCAATGTATTGCTGTGCAGTTTGAATGCGAAAGGGTCCGCAGGCTTTGTGGGCGCGACCAGCCGCCGATGGCTCGGTACGGAGACGGCGACTCGGCATAATTCTGGGGCGATTAGTAGTCTCGAGGACGACTAAACAGCCCACCGGAATGGAAAAAACTTCAAATGACGCAGCATCAGTGCTCGCTTCGCAACTTGTGCCTCGGCTCGATCAGGTCATGGTCAGGCGCGCTGAGCATTGGAATCCAGTGGCTGAAAACCCGCCGAATGCATTTGTCGGTGTTGGGAACATTGACATCTTCATTGCAACAGCCGCCGGAACGCTACTACACAATGCGATGCCTGACTCGCTACGGAAGAGGGCAGCCAGAGATGTGGAGGAGAAATCAGGAAACGAAGCAAAGAGGGGGAGGGAAAACACACGCTGGGATTACAGCAAAGTAGGCGTCAGTATCAAAACAACATGATCAAGAGTCCCGCTCTCTCCTTTCCTCGTCATCACAGCTTTGCCTTGCCCGCGTCCTTGGCCGTGGCCCCATCCGGCGCCGCGCCGTCAACATCCTTTTGCGTCAGTCGCACGAGCCCCTCCTGGACGCAGGTGGCAAGCAGGGTGCCGTCGGCGGCAAAGATGCGCTGCAGGACGACACCGCGGCCGTCACCAGCCCAGGGCGTGTCCATCTCGGAGAACATCCACTCGTCGGCGCGCACGCGGCGCGGGTCGTGAAAGTAGATGGAGTGGTCGAGACTGACGAGCATGCCGAGGGTCGGGTGGGCAGCCCAGTCGTCGGGCCCGTCGCCGAGGCCGTCGACGCGGTTCGAGCGCTCGACGTGGGCGCGCAGTGCCGGGTCGAGGTCGGCGACTTCGGACGGCGCAAAGGGGAAGCGCCAGAGCCGGTGCACGCGCGACACGGTGCCGATGAAGTAGCTGTCCGACATGTAGGCGAGGGCGTTGAGGTGGGCGGCGTGCCCGCCGGCAGCGCTGATGGTGCCGCGCGCCCGGTTCCAGACGCGGCAGCGCATCCTGTGCTCGTCGCCGGGCTGGGCGACCTTGCCCTGTCCGCTCCTGCCATGGTCAGCCTCCTCGCCGTCGTCGCCGCCGACAATCTCAATGCTCCGGCTCTCAAAGGGCCCCCGCGCGATCCAGGCCTCCTGGTCGGCAGGCTCGTCGTCGGCGGGCGGGCGGACGCCGGCGGGCAGCGGTACGGCGTGGCGGGCCTGCTTCACGCCGCCGGCACCCTCGCGCACAAAGCTGGCCGTGACGGTGAAGATGCAGCGGCCGCGCTGGCGGGCCTGGACGGTGCGCGTGGCGAAGCTGCGGCCGTCGCGCACGCGCTCGACGTGGAACAGGATGGGAATCTCGGAGCTGCCGGCGAGCAAGAAGTAGCAGTGGCACGAGTGGATGAAGAACGGGGCCTCGCCGGGCGCGGGGTCCGGCACGGTGCGCTGGGCCGCCGACAGGGACTGGGCAATGACGGCGCCGCCAAAGATGCCGCGCGCCCCGGGCGGGTGCCAGGGCTGGCGCGTGTTGGTGAAGATGTCCTGTCTGCTTGTCAGGGGGGGAGGTCCATGCAGGGTCGATGTGGAGAGAGAGGAGGGGGGAGGGGGGGGGGGGGGGGCAACGAGCGA